GACTGCGCACCCCGGGGCAGGCCCCGCTGCGGCGGGAGAGAGAGAACAGCCCCAGCCGGGGCAGAGGCAACCCCGGGCCCGCAGCAGCAGCCAAGGGGCTCGTTTCCTGCAGGACAAGGAGAGAGTCGGGTCGCCACAGGCGAGTGGGGTTTGCGGAGGGCAGGGAAAAAAGCCAACTCCTCTCCTCTTCTGGCCCAGAGTCCTTTCCAAACGTGGCTAAGGAAGGGCTGCAAGGCAAGCATCACCTCCTCTTGGTTTGCAAGGAATGAGACGTGACCGCTAAACCAGCAACAGACAGGAACGTTTCGACCAAGGCACGACACACTGAGAGGGGGAACTGTGCCACGCTCCCGCCGCGCTGCAGGAGCGGGGCTGCCAGCGAGACCAGCTGCATCCCTGTGTCAGGAAAGGAGGGGGGCATGCAGTAAACCCCACGCGTGTGGGAGGAGGGTGTGCACCACCCAGCTCGAGCTGACTTACGCTGATTTTGGTTGCATCCTTATTTGTTACCTAAAAGAATGGAAAAAAGGGAGATTAGACTCAGCTATGCCTGCACACCAACAAGATGCTCGTATTCCCACCCCAGCACAACAACAGGACACGGGCAGAAGCAACTTCCTCCGCTTGCCGTTCACATACCCCGTGTGTGGTGGGGGGCCAGGGGAGTGCCCCAGGGCACAGGGAAAGCAGCAAATCAGTGCTGAGCTGGGGGGACTGGTTTGGTAAAGCTCCCGTGGTGCCCACAGAAGCACTGCCTCCCCCAAGGGTGCAAAGAGCAGCAAAGGAACTGCTTGTTGCACACTGTGCTGCTCACAGTCACTGACAAACACAGGGGAAGACGCTTTCCCAGCAGCATTAGCCAGCGCTGAAGTGCTTGGGCAGGCTGGATCCCACACTGCTCAGGGCAGAGCTTCAGTCCTGAAACGTCCTGGGAACAAGTATCGCTCAGCAGGTTTTGTACTTGGTTATTTTTTTGTCTCCAGCCAACTACTGTAAACCTAAGTGATGCCTCCCATCTCACCGATGTGCCTCCCAGGGAGACGGTCATCATTCTCCAGGCATGCCCTGTCATCATTTATTGTAAAAGCAACTCACAGTTTTTATATAAGGTTAAAGAAGACATTTAAATCCAAGCGATTTATTTCCCTGTCTGACAACTGACTTACACTTTCCCCAGCTAGGCGGCATCACATTAGCTCAGTGTCTATATGCTTTGCATCTCTATTTGAGCTCTGCAGGAAAACAAGCGTGCCACAGAGAGGGGAGCTGGCACAAGCACAGAGGCTGCCGCGGGCCACCCTGCTGGCGCAGGGGCCAGGGGGCTGGAGAGGATGACGTGACCCACACAGCAGGGCTGCAAGTCCTGCATTACCCCACTCTTTGTTCAGCCCCGTCTGGCACCAGCACGGTGTCCAGCACCGGGGGAAGGCTGCAGAGTGAACTGGCTTATGCTGGGGAAATGCAGCTGAAAAATTTAGACTAGAGCCTGCCCTCACGCCAGGAGGCTTGCTGGGGGGAGGGGAAAGGACATGCAAGATTCAACACTGCTTCATGCATTTTAAATACAACATCCGACTGTCTGAAAATGTCTTGCTGAGCTCCAGATATGGACACAAGCATGTACATGCACCCCAAGAAACTGTGCATTTGTATATGCAGATTCAGGCTGATATGTACTTAACATACCAACAGAGAGGTGTATCCCTCATGGCTGTCTCTGCTCTATCAGTGAGCATACTGAGTCTCCCCCCTTTTTACAACGGTTCCTAGCTCAGCCCACAGAAGCACTGTTTTTTTTCTTGTTCCCACTTCATTCTACAGCTATTTTTGACTGCCTCTCTTGGGTCCTTGCCGCTGATTTTGCAGTGGGACATTTTCAGTTTACAATCCCTAAAGCAGTGACAGTTTTTCCAGAGATGAAGTCCCCTATGGTGTATGCCCTGTCCTCCTCTGTCCCAGGGAGGGCCTGCGGACGCCAGTGCTCCCAACCACTTGCTGGCACCGAGTAGAGGGAGCGCTCTCCTCTCTGGGGCTGCCGGGCTTATTCTGATCACCCTCTGAGCATGCTGCACTCCATGAAGAGACGTATCTCCACAGCACTGTATTACCTTGCTCCTGCTGCCGGGGACACTGATGGCTAATTCATGTGCAAGTTCTCTGGCTGGTTCTTTAAGATACCACCACTGGATTTCCAAGGAGTAAGAGGTGGATCCGCTGGCTCGGAAAGCACAAGGCATCTCAATATCATCTCCCTCCCTAACAGTCACATCTTTGGGAACTTCAGTAAAGGTAGCTGGGAGGGGAAGACAGAGTTACAAGGGCTGGTTAACGGGAGAGATTAAAAGACATGATCAGTCTTTTTTTCAGCGCACCGTGAGCTGCTTCAGCTCCAGAGCTCGGCGCTGACCGAGATACGGCTCTCCTGTAGGCCGGTGACCGCAGGGCAAGCGGAGCATCGGGACTGCGCACCCCGGGGCAGGGCCGAGCCGGTCCCCGCCA